TATATATATAAAAGTTAATACTTGTCATCAGATATATATTTTATTTTGAAAATACATTAATTCTGTTTTTTATTTATCTTTGTATGATTTGCTTTTTATTTCCCTTGTACTTAAAATTATTAGAAATAAACATATACCAATTGTAAAATTTTAAAATTTTGAAAAATGTACCAGTGTTGCAAATGTGAAATGTAATAGGTTTTACGAGTTCACACGTGAATTTTTCCGTTGAATTTTTCAATCCTTTGGGAAAAAAACAGAAAAAATCCGCGGAAAAATTGAAAAAAACCGGTTTTATTTCCAGCCTTTAAAACTATAGAAATTTGTGATATTTCTTATTATATATAATTTAATTCCTTTATAGTTATTCAGTATATATTAAAAATATCAAAATAAAGTGTAATAAAAATATCAATAATTTACGAAAATATTTATTTTATTTTAATACTTTTATACAAGTTATGAAATAAATTGATTAATATAAGAAGAAAATATAAAAAAATATAAGAAGAAAAAATATAGCTTTTAAGGAAAGATATTTGCATATGACAAATTTTATTTATATATAAAACATTTTCTTCCAAAATAAGAAACAACTAAAATAATTAAAGTAAATATTTAAAATGGATCATCCTGTGTACACTGAAATAAAAAAGCTCACACTACTCTGTGTGAAAAAATATTAGTAATTTAATATACATATTTTATTATTTTAGAATTTCCAATTGCTTATAGAAATTTTAATTATTTCTATAAATATATCTACCTCTATCTTCGAAATAAATAGTACCTAGCAATAAGAAGCTTTCAATGATATGTGAAATTAGTAACAGAAACCTTTTACTTTCCTCTAGGCATTCTTTTATCTCGAAGCTCCATAAATAAGCCTCTTCAATGTTAAGTATACAACGTGAAATTTATTTCAAACATGAGATTTCTTTTCATCTATATAAAATTGACTCGATATTTGCATTAAAATACCTAACTAGTTCCTATAATTAGTACAAATCTTTTTATCGAATTAACTCATTCAATTATTCAACATCTAAACACGTCTCTTAATAAATTTGTAGAAATTGCAAAAAATAATTTTGCAATATAAATTGATTTTGCAAGTTTGCAAATTAAAAATTTGTAACTATTACAAACGATTAATTATTATTGAATTAATATTTTTTGATTCAATATCTTAAAAAAATCTTCTAAAAATATAGTGTAATATTTTTTATCTTTTATTATATACAATAAAATATATTATTTTATTGGTTGTTTAATAAAATATTACATAACTATTCTTATTTCAATTTCGTAAATAATAATAATACGATTGAATACCTGTCACTAGATGAAAAATTACATGCAGTCCTAAACTCGGGACATAAACACGATAAATATAGCTGCTGGAAAATTTTCAGCAATGTCGGGGAAAGGATCAGAAAGTACCGTGACTGGTGGTTGCATCGCACGTGTATACGTTCCCATGCTGACCACACGCGCAAGCCCAGCTTGTCGTATACATGCGGGTAATGTGCGTGTCGGAAAGCACTAGAAGGGATTTTGGAAAAGTCCATCCGTAAACAGTTTAAATTACGATGCCGGCCGCACTTCGCTTTTACAACGCGTTCTAATCTCCGTCGTGCGTCGTGCGTACGTCGATTGCATCGCGCAACCTCGCGTCAATGTATACTTATTCGCGTAAAAGGTATACATACATATATGTATATTATATGCCGATCAGCCAAACGAATCGAACGTACATACGCGTCGCGTGCCCGTGCGGCCATGCGAGACACCCCGTGCACCGTACGCGTTCGTGCGCTATAAATATATTATCTGGAGACGAAGCCGCCGGGGAAGCACGAAACTTGGTCATCAACTCAAATATACACGTGCCAAACTCGCGAACGTGAAACACGATTATATCATTTACGATTCGATTACTACTTAACAAACATCGCGCACTATTTTGAATATCGAAATGCAGCCCATGAAGCACCGCACAGAGTGACCGAAATGTTTGTAACAATGTTTAACACATATGTGGAAATTTCTAAATAGTTTATAAAAAATATTATTAATTTAGCTCGAATTAATTTTTATTTTGTTTTTTTATTCTATTATTAAAAAAGTAACATAAACTCTCTCTCCCTCTCTCTCTCTCTCTCTCTCTCTCTCTCTCTCATTTTATTTTATGCCACATTTATTCTTGCACTGTGAAAAGCAATCTGCGAAATAATTAATACAGAATGTAAAGCTTTTCATGTATGAATCGGATTAGCCATTAATTTTTTCATTGTGTGCCACTTTTTTTATAAAGTTGAAATATTTTGCACAAATGTTAGTCCAATCGTAATCATTGCTCAAGTTTCTTTCATTAAATATTTGTCAAGAAAACAGAATCAAAATGCTGCGATTTAATTAAGAAATGTAATTTTTTAAACTGTAACTACATATTTAAAAATTTTAAACTTCTATATGTAATATAATCTTAATTCGATACTGTTCTAAAATTGTGAGTAATGAATTCATTGTTTTAGTGCAATGACGTGACATTTTTTTCTTATGATAAACAATATTATATTTTTAACAATGTCTTACGTCTTGGCAGCTCTGCTATTTGAACTATTTAATTTTGAAAATAGCATAAATTTAACTTCAATAAAAATCAATAAAATCTATAAAATAAAATGGTGTGATATAATAAAATTGATGTAATACAAAAAAATAGACTTGTACCACTTTCAAAATAAAAGTTTATTTACTTGCGCAAGTCGATTAAATATGTTTCAACTTCACGGTAGAATGTAAAGAAACGCGCTCTATTTACATACTTGTAACGACGCGATATACATATGTATACCGCAAAAGTGTGCATTCTTATACATGACGCTTACTCACTTACGTGGACGATGACGAACAGAAGCTGGGTAAGACGAAAAAAGCAGGCTTAAAATTCGAAAACTACTATTCGATATCTGCTTTATTTCGGCTCCGTGTCTTTTTTCATTCGAGAATGCTTCTCGCGTAAATCGCTAAGGATTTTCTCCTGATAGTCGGAGTTTCGCAAAAAGGAACATTCTCGACAAGAAACTAGTTGCACTTGAGAAAAAAACTTAAGAAAAAAGGAATAATCATTCTATAAAGGCCTTTATTCTGTAAAAATGCATTAAGATAACTTCAAGTTATATTTAAGCTGCTGTATGTACAAAAAATTTTTTGCAAGAGAAAATAATCAAGATAATTATAATACTAAAGTATATTTTTTAATTATGAATTTTTAGCAAAACTTACTTAATTAAATAATTAAAATAAATAAATTTTATTATTTAATAAATTTCATAAAATTAAAATATTATGCAGAAAATGTTGTATTTGGTTAAGTCAATCACTTTAATTTATTTTAAATTAGTTGTATTTGTTTTAATCTAAATAGCTGTCAAAAAAGCTTTTATTCTTTCAATTAAGGAAATTATTGCGCTTAATCGCGATATTTTTCGATTAAGCAAAATGGAACTTTTACATAATTACATTTATACATATATGCACCTCGTTATACCGTTAATCACAATATTACGGGACATTTTCATAAAGTATTCTAAAATGCGAGCAGAAAAGTTGAGCTTTACATATTATATGTACGTTATCCGGAAACAAAAGCATGCGATATATGCTAAAAAGCGCAGACGGTACCATAGCATCGTTGAAAAGTAAAAAAATTAGGCGAAATGTAATAGCTACGCGGATTTGCTCGATGTTGGTAAAATATACATTTCCTGACCAAGACATTCGTAATTACCCATACCATAAAGAAAAATGATAAATATGCATATATTTCTAAAAATTACTTTCTAAAAATTAACCAACGACTAGCAATGAAACAAGCTTTCGTATTGTAATCAATTCTTTTAAGTGTAATATACAGGGTGTCTCAGTAACTATTAGTACCTCGAAAATAAGACATGGAATTGAAAAATACTTCAGACAAAAATTGTATGACTTGAAGAGGGACCTAAAATGGTAGCATTGGTTTGATTTTAGATGACGTCAAGGTCAGGAAAAAGTCACTTTAAATTTTTTTAATGGAATCCCCCATTTTTTATTGCATATTCTTGTAGCTTATCTTGAGAGCTTTTCAAAACACTATAATGAAATATTTTTCCATTAAACACTCTTCGAATTATAAGGCTTGAAATTTACACCGCTGGTATTTAACATTATCCAAGGTGTCCAAACAATGGCACCTTTTCTTGTTCAGGATCATGAGTTTCATTTTCAATCGCACTTTCAAAAAATATCGATACTTTGTTAAATATAAATATGAGTTAAATATAAGTATGAAGTAAATATTAATAAACAAATTCTATTTTATGTAGTACTTATGTTATATACTCAAATGTATACGCGATGTATTACGTCTCACAGGAACGTTACACATTTCGGTTTGGCATTTTATTCAGAAGTTTCGAAAGTTCCTAATAAAGCACCCATGTCGCCGTAAATTGCAACACTTTCCTGGTATTAGATCGAGAGATTGGACACGGTTGTGTACGTTAAATGTGTGTTGATTGAGATTTACTAGTGGGACGGGTATGTGTCGTTTTCTGCAACGGGAGTAACAATCTGTCTCGGATAAAACGAAGAGCCTGTTGATTGAAAATTTCATGGCTGCGAGTTGTGTGTTACATTAAACTTTTATCGTGGTCGCGCGTTAAAAGCGCCGCTCAGCGTGCGCGAAATCGCCGACAATCTTTTTGCGAATTTCCTGGCATACACGACGAAATTAAAGGATATAACGCCGTGACAGGTTATAATCGAAAGTATATACCATGCATAACACATTGACGACGGGCTCATTTATCCGTGAAAATCGATCAAATCAAGTTTTTCTGTCGGCATCTATCGCGAGTTGATAAGCTTATAATGAGATAAAACGATCATCGCTCGCGCGAAACTATTTAAATAACTCGTTAAGCTCCCTTTAGCTCGTGATATTATCGCTCTGGCGAGATGACAAAATTGCTCGTTCGATTTAAATTACAGAGGTATCGACATTGGATTAATAGAGGTATTTTTATCAATTTCTTTTTTATTTCGCGCAAAATTGCGAAATGTAACAATATCGAGAGCCGTCGATAAAATTAATTTTTAATATATCTCTCTAGATATAATTAGATACAAAGTTTCTAAATTTGCCAATAACGATTATTAAGCGTAATTTTACTATTTTAAGAGAGAATTTTTATTCCATTGAGAGTTTCGTGTATCACGCAAATATACGCAATGACCCTTTTTCGTCGAGTAACCAAATTTATGCTTATAAACTATAATATGATTTTAATAACTAATGTTTCATTGTATCGTTTCGATTAATTATTCTTGCAAATTTTTCTCAAAAATATGATAATAAATAAAAATAGGAATATATATACATTAATGGAGAATTTTTAGAGTCTACAATCTTCTTTTTAAGCACGGTCTTAATTCATTGAATGCAATGATCAAATACCTAGTCGATCCTTCCAAATTGTATATGTATGTATGTACATGAAAGTCGCCCATCGCATCCGCGTGCGCTGAGGGAGTCGAAAACTTGTCGAAAATCTCACGATAGCGGGGGCCATTAAATTTGAAATTACCAGGTAATTAATATTCAAGCTAGCCTCGTGCGGTCGTCCGCCCGCTGCCGTCGTCGCTCACCTAACCCTGCACCGGCTCTAGGAGCTGAGTCAATACGTAACGCAATTACTTGACAAGCGGATGGTGGTTTGCTGCAGCACTTTCCGCGCTCCCGCCGCATCACATTGACGCGACGCGACGTTAGCGCGTCCTCCTCGTCCCGTAAGGGTGAGGTGAGGCGTCTCGGCAGGGGGAACGTGTGCGTCGCTTTATCGGTGTTTGTTTCTATCGCGGTGCCTGGGTGTGCGCGCGCGATGTTGTTATGCAAGGAACGTGTTTAACTTTAGCGAGCCGCGTAACCATATTGCCCGAATGCATGTGCAGCCGTGCGCCCCGCCGGGAGGGCGATATCGCGGGGAATATAGCGGATATAATGGCTGTTGCGAGCACTTACGCTTTAGTGCGTGCGAAACGTCGTCGTTGAGTACCTTAAAGAGCCCTTGGGACGAGCGAACAAATGGGATATCGGGGACAATCGATGAGCGGAAACGCGATGTTTCATAATTGAAACATTATCGCGGATTAATACGAATGTATTTAATAATTCCCGTGTAATCACACATTCGATTGTAATAGAATATTTTATAACATAGTACGCGTGATTAAGTATATATGCAATATTATGCAGACTATGGCGACAGTGCGTATACGAATGATATTAATCATCCGTGAAAGATTTCTCGTCAAAATATTCTGCTGGGATTGTCGCTATTCCCCCGCTCGAAGGAGCCGCGCGTAAATAGATCGGTGACTGATATCATTAGCTTAAGCGAGATATGCTCGGTTGTCGGTGCATGCGCAGCCACGAAACCATGTCGGTGCCGATATCGCACACAATGTGCGGTATATGATAAATGCGGGTGTACAAATGGGTAAGGGAATGCACGAGAATGTATGATGTGGAATAAGATACCACCTTATAAACGATGCATCAGCTCATATGATCGCTTGACAACGGAAATTAAGTTGCTGTGTCAAGTCTACGTATCGGGTCAGATAAATTTGAACGTATAATAAAATGATAACTTGTGTATGATCGACTCAGAGAAACACATTGTGAACGACATTCGCAGTTATAACTCTAAAATATTGTATCCAAGAATGTCATTATGTTTAGTGTCACGTAACATCGAGAGACAGAGAGAGAGAGAGAAAGAAGGAAAAAGGTTTAACATTTCTATAGAGATTAAATTCTAAAGATTGTATTGTAAATTCTAAAGATTGTATCTAATTGTATCGTTCGCACTTTCCGTTCCTTTTTATGTATAATATATGTTCCATACTAAAAATTTCGAATAGCCAGAAAAAACGCGATATACGCGAGCGACGTTATTAGTAACGTGTGGATAAGAAACGCATAGGTATATGTATATCGATTAAAATTGACCAGCCAGTGTGCGCTTGTACACGAACATTATTCCCGAAAGAGGCATACTTACAATTAGCTCCATCGAGTCGTGTGATTGGGCGAAACGCACGTGCAAGGCATTATGTAGATTCGATGTGGAAAGATTCATTCGTACAAATATCTCGGATAATCGGCGGAAATTGATCGCGGGAAAGATTTCGTTAACGAGCGCCAAGCGAGAAAATATTGATTCGCGGCACCGTTGGTGAAAATTTAATTAAATCACACACGTAATTTAACGGATCCAGCTGTCGCTAATAAACTCGGCGCAACAGAAGTGTCGGCCGAAAGTTATAATTACGCGAGATATGGCGAATTTAAATGAATATCGCGAGAGGGGACCTTGTACAGATAAACGGATCCCAGCGCGTAGATGCGCATTTTGTTACACGCCTTTCATTTACATTTTACATTTGAGACACAATTGTGCCGACACGCGCGCGCACACACACACACAACACACACACTCTCTCTCTC